TAAATGATAAAGATTAAACCAAACAAATAGTACACTCTTTATTAAATAACAAGAACAAAAAGAAACCCAGAAATCCCGGAAAGGATTGTCTTCAGCGGGTGTTTCAAACGGTTGCATCAGCACCGTGTTAAACACCTTCATCCAGGGCTGCTGACATATTCAACAAGTCGAACACTGTGGCACTGTAGCCACAGTCACGCGGGTCACGTAAACTCTACATCTAGTCTGAGAGACAGAAAAAAAAAAAAAAAAAATGCCACAGGAGGCATGAAAGCTCAATTCTCAAATGAGAGAGCTTTGATAATGAGGGCCAATATGGCAACTCTTTACTCTGAGGAATTCTATCATAAAGAAAAAAAAATCTCAGAAAATTCCACTTTTAACGCTTTTAAGCTCTCACACACACTAGAGCTGGTCGATATACAATATTTACTGTATATGTAATATTACTTTGTTGGTAATATAGAATTCTACCAACACTGTGATTTTACTGTGCATTTATTTTATAGATCTTTTTATTGCTTTAAACCTCGGCAGCAAAAACGCCTTGATTTTGTTCTTTAAAAGTTCTCAAACTGAATTTTACAGGCTTTGGAATACATGCCTTCATTATTTATAACCACATTTACTCTATAAAATAAAATAAAATAATAACAAAATAAAATAAAATAATAACAAAATAAAATAACTCTATTGCCTAGGCGTAACACACACACACACAAGGCAGGGATAAACACAGCTCATCAGACATACTATAACACACCAAGCAAGCTCATGTCAAAGCCTCTTACTTCCTCAAACATACTCTGGTTATATTAAGAGCCTTAGGGGATTATTCACAACTCGTATGTGTTATATTCTCACAAATGTGACAATTCAAACCGTAAACCACAACTGAAGTTACACAGTGGTCGTTGAGTATAAAAAACAAATGCGCTTTTATCTGCAAGTTGCTTTGCTGGGACTACAGCGCGAGATAATTTTTTTGTTTCTTTTTGCAATGCTTCCTCTTTCTGCCTGTTCAGCATGGATGCAAGGCTTCGACTAGTACCCATCATTCATCTTTAGAGGCGATTTGAGTTTTACTGTTTATTTTTATGAAGACATGCAAATTCATGCCGGGGAAGTAATCGGCCTCTCGCTCCACGGCATGAATTTTAATAGATTGCTTAAAAACTCGTAGAGCGCTCTCCACATCGCAGTTAAAAATCTGCTTCATAGGAAGGAATCACAGCGACGGGACAAGTGGCTGGACAGAGATTTGAGGGAAAATGCAGAAAGTCAGGCAGCACCTGTACACACAGAAGCATTTGAATGTGTCTTTAAGTGAATCACCATAACCGTTTTCCCCTTTAGTCATGCTGGAACACAATTTCAAACACGTTAGCGTAACTGTGCCTGCCTAAACAGTTATTACAACAGCAGCGTGAAACCAGTGACAAATGCGCAATTTACGCTCTCAATCTCTGAAGGAGAGCTGACAGAAACACCTGCAGCACTGCCTGATTAAAAGAATATCTCACCCAAAACATTTGTCTCGAGACCCCTTCATACTGTGCAAATGAGTCGTGCTCAATCTAGCTGATTTTGAATGTCGAAAGGGCTATAACAGATAGGCACTTTGTGATCTGAGTTTGTAATAGTCATATGCTAATGTTTTTTTTTGTGTCAGGCCATCCAAATGTAAATGAGTTTGTTTCTTCATCAGAACAGATTTGGAGAAATTTAGCCAATGGACCAATGGATCCTCTGCAGTGAATGGGTGCCGTCAGAATGAGAGTCCAAACAGCTGATAAAAACATCACAGTAATCCACTCCAGTCCATCAATCAACATCTTGTGAAGTGAATTTCCATCAAGATTTTTTTAACTTCAAACTATTCCTTCTATCTAAAATGCGAGTCCTCTATCCATACTATTGGTTTTATTAGCTGTTTGGACTCTCATTCTGACGGCACCCATTCACTGCAGAGGATCCACTGGTGAACAAGTGATGTAAGGCTAATTGATGTAAGTTTCGATGAAGCTGTTCATTGCTGAAATAATTCTGTTCTAATCTACATCTTGGATGGCCTGAGGGTGAGTACATTTTCAGCAAATTTTCATTTTTGGGTGAACTATTCCTTTAATCTTTTTTGGCACTTGACAGCATCTGGTCAGTATAAACTTCACTGTACTGCGTAATAAAATGCTTCAAAAACGCCTACCTTTTTCCTCAGGAAAAAGAACAGCATACAGGTTTGGAATGAGATGAATTTTCATTTCATTCAAGTAATGAAGCCCAGACCTGCTGTAAGAAATAAACTCAGAACCATATGAAAGCCCAGAGTGATATGCGATGTTCCCACAGATACTATGTGATGTGGCACATTACCAACAAATCAGTATAATATGTCAAGCCTCCAGGTAAACTGCGCTCAAGGGAAATGCTGTCTGAGAAAAGAGCCAGTGAGGGAGCTAATGATGAACGTTACGGGATAAACATCTCAGTGTGCTGAACTGTGTGGCTGCACAGATCAGACCATGAAAAGCCACCAAATCCCTGCATTGTCAATTACCATTATCAGCATCTCTCGCTCGCGGCTCCAAGCTGCTGAACTGATCTCACGGCTGGCAGAGCGCACGCTGTGTTGCGCCCTCTCAAAAAAGCATGGCATTTTCGTTTCTGAACATTTGCACTTAGGAACAGTTCACCCAAAAATTGAAAATTCTTACGGCTTAGTTTCTTCCGTGGAACACAAAAGTGGACAAATTCTGATCCTGGCTGCTATTTTTATTTCAATCACAACAAATAGAGGCTCAAATTCAGGCTTCAAAAAGGATCAAAAATCACCATAAAAGAATCATAAAAGTGGTTAGTAAGACTCGTGATTTCACAATAGTTCAGTTCTTTTGAAGTAATACAATAGTTTTGTGTCCTGTAAAAAATATCCTAGAAGATTACTGCAGTATATTTGTCAAGAAAATACTACTTTAGTCTTTCCACTCTTTAATTCAATGTGTTACTTGCCATTTTTTGTCATTATTTGTGACATTTACTGAGTGAAAACTGTTTTTACACCAATTTGTTTCCAGTCTGTAATGACACACCAAAATTGAAGCTGTTATATTCCATACCATACTTAAATGGTAATTAAAATCTGCCATGCAAAGAATACAAATGACTTTTTTAAACACCAAATCTGAGTTTAATACAATAAATCACAGAATGAAACTGGCAAATTTCAGCAAATGTATTAAAAACATATGTCCGCATTGCTTTTTACGCTTCATGTCACACTGCCTAAACTGTGCTGAATAGCAACACACTGTCATCCGGTTCAGGTGCTAAAATATGCAAAAACATAACATCATACCATGATACATTTTTGGATCCGCTGTGCTTTATCAGCCCCAGTGTGTAGAGTCAGTAGTGCATGACCTGTCAACCGAGCTGAGACCAGTTGCTGGAGGAGTTTCTGACATAACGCTGGATCAAATGAACGTGCTGTATTCAATGCCTGCTTTTGGACATTGGACTTGCACTCGGCTTTATCTGATGTTGGGTAACTGAGACACTCTAGCACTCTCCCTGACTGCTAAATTAACAAAAAAGCAACAAGGCCAAAAGCATTTGTTGCACAGCAGGTATACAATTTTTTTAGGGTTCAGATTCCACCTAAATGCTACATTTACAGCCTCTCTGTTTGACAAACTTTTAATTTAAATATAACACTCGCCAGCCTATGTGGTTTTTCAATGCCAAAAAATAGAGCAGCTGAAATACTATTCAAAATTCGAGGACGGTAAGTTTTTTTTTTTTTTTTTTAAAGACGTCTCTTATGCTAGATGCATTTATTTGATCAAAAGTACAGTAATATTGTGAAGAACTATAACAATTTAAACTAGCTTTTCTTTTTTTATATTGTATTTCTATCTTAATACATTTTAAAATGTTATTCCTGTGATGGCAAAGCTGAATTTTCAGCAGGCATTACTCCAGTCGTTACTCATATCATCCTTCAGAAATAATTTTAATATAACGATTTTCGAATTAACGAATTTCTTGATCGTTATCAATGTTGAAAACAGATGTGCTGCTTTTTTTCAGGATTCTTTGATTAAAAGAACATTCAGAAAGAATGGATTAAATTGATCAGAAGTGACCGAAATCTTTCGTAACATTACGAAAGATTTCTGTCACTTTTGATCAATTTAATACATTCTTTCTGAATAAAAGAATTAATTTCTTACTTGACTCAAAATGAACTGCAGACCTATTTCTGCCAAATGCTCAGTTGACAATTAATGCTGATAATCTCAAAATTACCAGTATAATTACTAAAATATCAGTCTATCACTAAAATATGATTCCAATAAATGCCATCTCACACCACATCAGATAGAGCCAATACATGACACAATGTCTATCAAATCTTATTTGAGAGGCATAAATCAATAAGCATAAATCTCTTATAATATTGCAGAAAGCCAAAACACATATCCAACACAGAGTGTTAAGAATATTACCAACCAGAGGAGACTCTTCCAATAAAATTCCACCTAATGAAAATACTTTAAAAAAACACCCAGAAACAATCAGAAAACTGCTCTCCTTCAAAGCATAAAAAACAAGAAATTTCAAAAGCTCCCTCGTCTTGTTCTGGCATCTCTAGGTCAGCTCATTAAAACAGATGGGGGTTCAGCAGTAAGTTCAGCATGAGGATGTGAAATCAAAGCCTTATGCTTCGGAGCAGCATCTGCCATATTATTAAAAACACAACAGCGGCAAGACCACAGGAACATCAGCAACAATAATGCGCAGAGGAAGAAAAAAAAACACTATCCTTCCTAACTCTTTGAAGCCGAGGAGCAAAATGTCACATCCGTCCTGCACAAGTCCATCAGTTTAAAACGAGTCTAAAAACTCAAAAAGTTGGTGCTAAAAGTCAATTATTTCCCATCCTATCTCAAAGCAGCCCATAAAGGAATAATATATGACGGCGCGCTTAAGTCACATACCTGCAGTTGGGTGGAGGATCCAGAGTGATTTCTGCAAGCTCTTTCTGGATTCTGCGAGGGAGAGAAGAGAGAAAGGGAGAGATGGAGAGAAAGCTGTGAGAATTGCAAGCAGCCAGGGAATTACACTGCCCTCTACCTCTGCTGCGTTTACTGCACGGCTGGCTCTCCCTTCAGCACAGCTAACATGGCTGCTTCCTCTTTGTTCTCGGAGGCATAACCCGAATCCCATAACAGGAAAACTTTGCCGTGCTCGTTTCTGCCTTTCCCTCCATCGCACACCGCTGATCTTCACCTCAGCTCAAAGCCCGCTCCCCTTAGCACACACCCCGCCCCTCGTCGGCGGGTTTAAGTCACTTTAAGCACAAAAAAATTTCTTTTAAAGCTTATATGCAAATGAGGCAGAGGGAGGGAGGGGGGTGTTCTCGGGCATATTTGACAAGAGCTTTAATGCACAGCTCTGGTGCTGTTACTAAAGCATTATCAACAGCGTGTAAAGGAGCCAGGGCAGGATTTTTGACATTTTCTAAGAATAACAGTTTGTTTTTTTTGATCTGTCATTCCACCCACATTGAGAAAGTCTTTGGTGTTTTAATGAGCATTGATGCGGATTGATTGGTTACCGGTATTTTTTCAGTGCCAATTAAATTTGAGGGTAGAATCGCTGTATTTACTAGTCTCCACGAGGCAGAGGGATTCGATTCACTTCTCTTGTTCCTCAAACAACTTTACATAGAAGTTCTGGGATGCCTCAAAAGAACTTTTGCCAAGTAAACATGGTGTGGTTCGTTGACATTAAATATAAGCTGATCACACGGCTTCTTTGCTCATGCAGTTAAGTAATTATCTAAGCTTAGTGCTTTTACTCTCAAGTACGGAGCACAGCCGCCAAAACTGTTAATTGGCACATTGCGAAAATGAACTTGAATGCACAAAAAGTGACCATAAAAAGCAGTTAAATGTGTTGACAGGACTGAATTAAAAAATGACATTTAATCCTCAATGGCAAAACAGATAGATCTGTCAGCTTTACCTCTTCGCGCTGGAGGATAATTTGGCTGTTGTTTTGCTGGACAGTTTGGTGGATTTCTTCTGCTGTTGTGGAGGCGTGGGTTGTTTTCGCTCCTCTTGCTCTTCTGGTTCTGGCACCGGAGGATCTCTCTGATCCGCATCGGAACTGCCGCTGCTGGTGCTGGGACTTTCATCATCTGATCGTTGTCTTTCACTGGACATTTTCCACCTTTGTAAAGGACAACAAGAGGTTCTGAAGCAGGGCAGACTGCGATCACAGGAGTCTCCTGGGGTTTAAGCAAATCTCAAATTTGCTCAGCGGAAACTTAAACCCTAACCTCAAGGCCGCCTGGAACCCCTAACCCTTACGTTTCTAAATACAAACAGAAGCAAGGAGGATACGCAAACACAAAGTGACATATCACAGAAACTTCATTTAGCCTATTTCTACAAGCAATAAGAAGATAATGTCAACACTTATTTCTGTATCGATTTTTATCAATTTCAGGCAGCTTTAATATTGCTTATTTATTAGATACACTAGAATCTATACCAGTTTCTACTAATAAAGTGAGCATTAGTCACAATGGCTCATTTATGAGATTAAAGATGTTACTAGTGTAAGAACCCTGAATGCAGTGTAAGTCACTTTGGATAAAAGCATCCACCAAATGCATAAATCTAAATTTACTAACAATTGTCTCTAATACATAGCCCTTTAAGGTACAGTGAAATAGATAGTTGAAAACTAATAAAAATGGGTATCTAATAAACAGGTACTAGAAAAACTGGAATAGGTGCCTGCAACAGCTGGAATGCTTAGTAGCTGGAAGTGAATAGCTAATATCTGAATCACAGATTCCCATAGAATTTAATTGTAAAAATAATATGCTTCTAGTTAATGGAATAGTCACTTGACACTACAGGCAGGAATGAATGTCAGTAATGAATAAACACTAGCAAGTAGAATCTAATGAGGCTACTAGTCAGTGTAGGATTACTTACACTAGTAATTAGGAGAAGTACCAGTAAACACAAAAATAGGTATTTGTTAGTTTTAAGGAATAAACGCTAAAACGGCGTGCCAGGAGAGCAACAATCACAATGAATCCACAGTATTTGGACTCTAAAAACACAAGCAAACGTAGATGATCCGATCCAATTACATCAAACTGTTGTCATTCTGAAGGACAAAACGTCCACGTTTTCACACGTAAAGCCAAACACACACACACACACACACACACTTAATCCATTAGCGACTGAGCTGATAGTATTTGTAAATAGCGCAGCGGCAACATTGTTGCAACCATTATGACGTTTCACATGGATCCGCGATACATTGTATCAGTTTTGCGCTTAATGTTACAAGCTGCAGCGACCATCACACGTTCAAAAAACCCTCCTCCGCGAAAAGAACCTTGAGTTTTATCGCTTTCCATCTGCTGAATAGGTGCAAGTGGCTGAGCTTATGAGAGTTATCGAGAAAAACACACGGCGGTTCCAGCAGAAGCTGACGCTGAGAAGAAGGAGATTTCAAGAGCTGCAAAGGAAAGCAATAATTGCACCTATTTGCAGCATGTCCACCCCCTTCACTTTAGGAGAACGAGGCAATATCGCGAGCGGATTGCGAGGAAAAATCAAGTCGTTTAACGCACGCCGGGGCGAAAAGATTCAGATTGGATCTTTTTAAAATCCTTTGTAAGAGGTTTGTTATGGTAGGAGGCACTCCAGTATCAGCATGGTGTACCAACTGATGCGTGAAGTCAGTTTCGAGCTCCCCTCACTTCAGACCTGAAAACACTAAGAAAGGACGATGTTATCCCGCCTAATGTGGACTCTACGAGACCCTTAGAGCTTCTTCTTTACCTTAGACGCGGCCCTGTCCTGATCTGGGGTGGTTAGGAGTGTTAAAAATCCAGTTGAAATGGAGCCGGGAAGACGACGGGCTCCGGCCGAGCTGTGAACATTGGAGAGTAGGAAGGAGAAGAGGCGCTGCAGTTTTACTCGGGGCCGACGGGTGGCGCTGTACAGCGCTTGGACATAAGCGTCTACCGCCTCGGATGGTCCCACGCAACCTTTAAACCAACGTGAAATTGTATCCTCTCACGATATGCTCCACCTGAGCAGGATTTAAAAACCTGTCACCGTGCGTGTGAAGAAGACATTGGCGGCGACCGTCGTGTCACTTGTCTAGAGCGAGGGGGGGATGTTGTGGCGTCGGGAGGAAGTTTTGACATGTTGTTGTTGTGAGGGCTCCATGGTGAGAGCGATCAGCTCACGGAAACTTTGAGCGTGGGTGAGAAGTTTGGCTGGAATTCCAGTGCAGGTGGGAGTCCCTGTACAGCACTGCATGACTTACTGCATGACTTCTCTATTGTCTGCAACACTTCATTCCGTGCCGCTGTATGACTCCTCAGGAGTCAATAGTGTGTACTTCTCTATTCTATATGCTCTTTTACTTCTCTATAGTCTGTATTACTTTCTGCTTTATAGTATATTCTGCATGAGGTCGTTATAGTCTAAACTACATTCAGCTTTCTCTGTAGTCACCTGTTTTTAGTGTACTGTATGTTTTATGATGATATAGTATGACTTTAATGTATAGCGCACAGTGTTGGGGAAAGTTACTTTTAAAAGTAATGCATTACAATATTGCGTTACTCCCTAAAAAAGTAACTAATTACGGTACTTAGTTACTTTTTATGTAAAGTAATGCGTTAACGGGATTAGATACATTTGTGTTATTTAACATATTTAATTATTGCAGGTTTGAGCCATATTCTGAGTTTGCATTTCACTGTTTTAATTCATTTTTGATGAATACTAAATCTGTTTTTTGCGAGTGGGATGAATTAATGTACATTCACATTTAGTCTGGAACAGTATATTACATAACTCACGTTACTTGTAATGCGTTACCCCCAACACTGATAGCGCACTACTATAGTCGTTTTTACATTCTGCTCTATAGTGTATACTGCATGACTTCTAGTCTAAAGTACACTCTGCTTTATAATAATGCATGACTTAGTAGTTTATCTGCACTGTATTGATTCTCTGTAGTCAGTAAAGTGTACCTCTATTCTATAAGCTGTTTTACTCTCAGTAGTATATTTTGCACAAATTCTATATAGTATATACTTTCTCTTCTGTGATACTACATGACTAATCTATGGCCTTCTGCTTCACTTCTTTACTGACATTAGTGTAGAGTGTTCTATGTTCTGTCTGTCATCTATAAACTATCTCTGTTGTCTGTTGTCTGTAGTGCTATATAATATATGACTACCATTGAATTTCTGTGTAATCATTCATTTATACTTCTCCAAATTATATGCTTACTAGTCTATATTACATTCAGCTCAAAACAGAATTTGCTTCATTACTTCTAGTCTTTAGTATTTGGATTTATAATACCTTACTCTATAGTACCTACTAGCATGACTTATGTGTAGTTGTAGGCCAACATATTGCTCTATTATGTATAGACTTTTCCATAGTGAATAATATACTGCTTTATGATGCAATACATTCTGTATGACCTTTCTTTATAGTACATACTGCTCTAAAGCATATACTGTTTAAGTTCACTATAACCTATTTTAGGCCTATATTGTGCTGATTCTCAGCTAGTTGGTCTGGATGGATTGAACATTATATGTATATAGCATAACCAAAAATTGTAATAGTATGTAGTTCATGGTGTTATAATACATACATTCTGTTTTCCCTCAATGTAATGATTACACTCTGCAGTGCATGCTTAGTTCAAGTGTATCCATTTAAATTCTAAAGCTAGAGTTCATTCATTATATTTAATCTGTTTAGCTATATTTGAGACACTCCACTGTAGACAATAGCGTCTGTTTTTTTGTAATAAGTTATTTGACATGTTAAGGAACATTGCCCAATTATTTCCCTTGCTGGATTGTTAGTCATCCTTCCTCTAACAGCATTTAAAAATAGCTCTGAGGTTGCAAGTGTATTTCTGTACAGTAAGGCCACTCGGGTATCTCAAAAAGGCACAGTTTATTCTACATTACTGGCTACCACCCAGATAGCTTTAGCAAGCTTTAGTGTTCAGTCCGAACTTTAAATGTGCACAGGCTTAGGATAATCACTTTACTGAGTCGCCTAATTGAACAGAATCATCTCTGAACTGATTTGAGTGGAATAATGACACTATTGTCTTCAGAGGAGAATTTGTGTCATATTTGAAGAAGTTTGCATCATTGGTCTAGCACGATTTGTTCAATTATTAAACAAGTTCAATTCAGCACTAAACAGATTTATTGAAGACATTAGCATCCTTATTCAGGCTGGGTAAAAATATCTGAAATATCCTTGAATCCCAAGAATAGATTTGTCTATTGATATAGATATTGTGAATAGATATTGTAGCGCACCTCCCATCCAATAAATCGCAATAAGCTTTGAAGAAGTTTGCATCATTGGTCTAGCACGATTTGTTCAATTATTAAACAAGTTCAATTCAGCACTAAACAGATTTATTGAAGACATTAGCATCCTTATTCAGGCTGGGTAAAAATATCTGAAATATCCTTGAATCCCAAGAATAGATTTGTCGAGCCTGTTTTCAGTTAATGAACGGAATATTGTAGCGCACCTCCCATCCAATAAATCGCAATAAGCTTTGTGCTTTGCTACTTTAATATGAAACAAAGTCTCAGATTTCAAATTCTGTCCATTTTATTACAGTATTCAAACAATAAGTAAAACATCTTGTGAACAAAGTCACATTCAAGTCAGAAAAAAAAATTTGGTGGCCATAAACTCATTAGTCAGCGCAAAAAATGAACTTTAGAGAGGAGCATTTTGCTAAATATGCACCATATAATATATTAATTGTAATTTTTTTACTGTTTTTTAATATTTAGTTTGTTTGAATAAAGTTTTAATGACAGCCACCATTTAAATGTTTATATTTCAAAATCTCATCCTATTGTTTAAGTGCCGTCAAATCAATGATATTACTGAATATTAAGTGTCTCCAGCAAAGCAAGCCAAAGAGGGACAGTAGCAAAGAACCCAAACTCAGTCAGGTGACAGAAATGGAGACAATTTCTTTTGCTTTGATATTTAGCTATCAGTGCCATTCAAACATTTTAAGTGTTACTTCAAGTGTCCAAATACTTTTTGAGAGCTCATATCTGTGAGATCTTTGAAACTCTATTGTTCTTTGTCAGTGGACTGAGATGTTGATCTCCATATCATTTGTATGGCTCATACCAGCTCAGTTTCAGTTTCACCTGCTTTGAAATGTTAGATTGAAGAACGCTTTTGAAGCAAATGATGTCACGCTCCACTAAACTAGATTGCTGTGATGAGAGCGACGCTGTTTTCCCGTCTGCTACAGGGCCGTCACTCTAAGCGCATTCTAAGTGATAATCTCCAGGTGAGATGTGAGCAGGGCAGGTTTAGGAGGCTGTCTTAGTTTTTTCTTTTTTCCAGCGTCTCGGCAGCGTGATGTGTGCGGGTGTCTCACTTCTTGTGCTTATCGTGTGTGACAGCGCATTGACAGCAGGGGAAGGAAAAGAAAACAGAGCCGTGTGGGTTTGTGCTTACCACTGGATGTCAAAAAAATGACATACGGGAGCTCAGAGTGAAATACAAAAGCCATGATATGAATCAAATATAAGTGGAGAGATAAAACACTTTAGAAGGCTTGTGAGGACAGGAATGTTGATATTAAAAAACAGAGTAGAATTGACTCGTATCTAAACATAAATTATGACTTTAGACAGTCTGTCAAAGGAAAAGTTTCATGGCGCTCCAAACCCGTATGATTTTATGTCTTGTGTAGAACAGAAAATGACTTGGCAGAATGTCCAAGCTGCTGTTTTCTATATGAAGATGGATCGGGACAAGGGACTTTGGATTGTAATTGATGACAGAATTTACATTAAATCCCCTTAATGTGACTCTTGTCTCTAAAGGGGTTGTGACATGAGAAGTCAAATGTGATCGTTTAAAATATAAGAGGTCTTTGTACCATTAAAACATCCTGTCAGTTTCATAGCTTAAGGGTGCTTTGTGATTGACCTATAACCGTTTGTGTAACAGTTTGAATGCAACAAATCGTCTGCTACTCGAAGCCGTTTAAAACCCGATCTGATGAAAAAAAGAGCCTTACAGTATGTTAAAAATCATCAAGTTTACTTTACCCAGAGCGTTGCTGATAAACATACAACATCGCCTCCACTAAAATCCACATTTTGTGCCTTAAAGGTTAAACGAGAGTACATTTTGGAATTGCTTTAACCCAAAATGATTGTGCACTTGAATATTAATGAGCTCCTAATTAGGCTGTCAGCATACAGAGGCAGAAAAGAGCATTAATATTTAATAGCACAGCTGGTTGCTGTTCCTATTGCAGTGAAGTTTTACTGATTCATGACTGCACTTTATAATAACAAAAGAGCACTGCTTTTAAAAGTCAACTTTGTTTTATACCATGTGCATTTTGGCTGACACAGTAGGTGAGTGTTTGTGCATATTCAATAGTGTTGGTGGAGAGCCTCTATAACTAATTCAATTAGAATTGTTTAAATACCAATTTCTTGCAGCAACAGGGTGTTTTGCTCCAACTGCTTTTGTATGCAGATACTAAGAGAGCAGCTGTGTGCAATCTGTTCTGCTTTTCCTGACCTCACAGTTTCAACTGTGGGCCGCTTTCTGTACATACGGTGATGTAGATGCGCTGAAGTGCGACGCTGAGGACTTGCTCAAGTGTAAGAGACCCGTCACTGAGGCTTTTTACGGAGACCCTGCTTGAATAGGAGCTTGTGTGAACTTATGAACGCATGTCTGATGTCAGAGGGAGGAACAGCACACCAGGCTCTACATTTGTGACACAATACTGAGCTTATTGACACTGGCCCGGAGCCTCGGAATGTTTGAAATGGAATACTAGCTTACTAGTGCTAGGAATACTGCAACGTATATGCTATATATACCAGTGTTT